TCGCGAGCTTCATCGTTTTCTACAAAGTCCCTCCTTCTGACAAGCGCAGTCTGCTCTGATTGGCCAGCTGACCCAGTGCATTGTGATTGGCCGAACACCGCAAGCACTCGTCGGCAATGTAACGCCCTTACCATAATCACGAGCTTAATCTTTCAAAATAAATGTAAAGACAGAGCCTGAAAGGGGCACAGTGATGAAGCTGGTATGTGTTTGCAGTACACAAGCCACGGTTAAGACAGCTGACTCCACTGAGACGTGACGTCTCTCTCTCTCTCTCTCACACACACACGCGCGCGCCCACACACACACACACACACACACGATGCGCAAAACTCCGCATTTGTTTGAACAGTCAATAGCAAATACTTAAACTAATAACAAAACAGTAGCTGATTCAGAAGCGCCAGATTGTCATAGCAAAGTCAGAATTACCTCCTCTCCTAGGTTCACGAAACGGTCGTCCATAAAATGCATTGCTGTTCTGTTGTAAGTAATCTTAAAGATTCCTAAATGCATCTACTTCCGGAAGGCCAAATAAAGTGCTTTTGCTTTCACACTGAAACACACAGCGTCTCCCTGACATGCTGCTTCAACACTAACTGCGGTTACTGAAACCACGCCTTCTTTCTTTGCATGAACATTTGGGCGCATTATGCTAATATTTCCACATAGTGAGGTAGATATGTGGGGGCGTGTTAGAACGAGCCGTTTTAGGGGGGCGTGGCAGAGTCTTAACTTTGATAAAGAAGCCACATGTCACTTCACTGACAACAAAAACAACTCAAGGAAAAAACCCAAGCAGTAGTGCCAGTCATTATGAAAGCTGTACAAGCAAAAACTGACACACTGAGCAAGACAATGACCATGAAAGCTTAGCTAACAAAACAGGATTTGATCAAATACACTATTGGAAAACACAGTTAAACATTCAGGGCTTAACAATAAGGATGGCTCAAGGCCAAAGCTTCAGCCTAGTGCTGCATTTATGCCATCAATTCAGGTTGCACCAATGACCCCTAACTCAAAAGAACATGCACTTGACGGGTTGAGTAAGGGATCATTTTTGCAGTCAAAAAATTTAGACAGAATGCAACCAAATTGACACAGGGGTCTCAAAAGGTGTTTATCTATCACATGCATTTTTTTTACATGCAAAAAAACAAAACAATGCTCATGGCGCACGTCTGTGAAAAACAGGGAGATGCGATGCAACAGCCAAAAATTTAAATAGGACTGGAGAAACACATTGTTTGTATGCATATTGTGATCTCATTGCATTTTTCTCAAAAAAAAATTGTAATACAGCCTGTCCTATGACTGTTATTCCTGTGTAAATGCATTAAAGGGTTAGTTCACCCAAAAATGGTTAGGTTACCCTCAAGTCATCCTAGGTGTATATGACTTTCTTCTTTCAGACGAATCCAGTCGGAGTTATATTAAAAATAGTCTTTGATCTTTCAAGCCGTTTCATGGCACTCAGCGGGTGTTGCATGCATCATTCAAAGACAAGTTAAATAACAAGTGCCCATCCATAAAAATAAAAAAAAAAGTGTCTCACACGGCTCCAGGGGGTGAACAAAGGCCTTCTGTAGCGAATCAATGCGTTTTTGTAAGAAAAATATCCATATTCAAAACGTAATAATCACTTTAATGTAGCTTGCGCTCACTGTTATACACTGGAAGCAGTTCCCGGCGGATGACGTATGAGGTCGGCTTTGCGCAGATCAAAGATCAATGACAATATTTAATATAACTCCGACTGGATTCATCTGAAAGAAGAAATGATGATGACTTGAGGGCAAGTAATTTATGGGCTAATTTTCATTTTTGGGTGAACTAACCCTTTAAGGCTACAGCTTCAGTTACAAAAACAATGACTATGACTTTAACATGAAAACACTTGCCTCATTTGACATTTGTTTTCTTATTAATTTTTCAATCAAGTTCACTGTATAAAGCCACATTATATTTGTTAAGTTTACAGCTATTAAATTAATGAAAATTATAAACCCTAAAAGTTACGTACAACTGAAAATTCAGCTTTCCCATCATAGGAATAAATTAAATTTTATCATATTAAAATAGAGAGCACTTATTTTAAATTGTAATAATATTTCACAATATTACTGTTTTCACTACATTTATTTTTGACCAAATAAATGCAGTCTTGGCAAGAATTAAAGACTTTTCAAAAAATATTAGCGCCCCCAATCTTTTGAATGGTACAGTTTAAAAATTTTGTAAATTTGTCTGGTAAATACATTTTTATATGTTAATAAGTATATTCTGTGACTTCACTTAAAAATAAGCAGGCAAAACAAAGCTAAATGTTTCACTGTTGTCAAGGTAAGCAAAAATCTGAACCGGAAAAATCATTATTGTTGAGCCTGGATGTCTCATGGTTATATAACATATGGCTGAAACAAAAAAGGGACATATCCACAGCTGAGGAAACAAAACAAAAAAAGCCAAATCCAAGCTTGCACCAGCTTCAGAGAGTTAACAGCAAAGCATCAATGATCCGACAGCCCAGTGTGATTTTAACACATTGCCTTTGTCTCCTGCAAAATACAATGACACCTGGCAAAAGCAAGGGAATAATTCCCATCACCAGCACTGGGAGGGAGAAACTAAAGGTTTCAATGCATGCAGTTCTCCTGCAGTTTAGTTAGCGAGAGCTCAGGGCTGCACTACATTTATTTTTGACCAAATAAATGCAGTCTTGGCAAGAATTAAAGACTTTTCAAAAAATATTAGCGCCCCCAATCTTTTGAATGGTACAGTTTAAAAATTTTGTAAATTTGTCTGGTAAATACATTTTTATATGTTAATAAGTATATTCTGTGACTTCACTTAAAAATAAGCAGGCAAAACAAAGCTAAATGTTTCACTGTTGTCAAGGTAAGCAAAAATCTGAACCGGAAAAATCATTATTGTTGAGCCTGGATGTCTCATGGTTATATAACATATGGCTGAAACAAAAAAGGGACATATCCACAGCTGAGGAAACAAAACAAAAAAAGCCAAATCCAAGCTTGCACCAGCTTCAGAGAGTTAACAGCAAAGCATCAGCAATCAAACAGACAGCCCAGTGTGATTTTAACACATTCCCTTTGTCTCCTACAAAATACAATGACACCTGACAGAAGAAGAAGGCATAATTCCCATTCCTAGCACTGGGAGGGAGAAACTGAAGGTTTCAATGGATGCCGCTCTCCTGCAGTTCAGTCAGCGAGAGCTCAGAGCTGTGCAGAACCTCTAAAGAACTTTCCCAGCCAGGTTATAAATCAGGTCTAAAGTCAATGAGACTCACTAGCTCAGCATCAAACTCCTGCTGACCAGAAATACAATGCTGCACACACTCTGGAAACGCACACCTCTCTCAAAATAACGGTTTACCATGGCAATCGTATGCTTGAGGTCGAGATCAAAACAATCAAGGATACAAGGGGTCAAATGTATAACAAAGACAAAAGCAGTGATAACAGAAATACAATAGGGTCATAATAATGATCTGAAGGTAAATGACTCTTTGATTTTCTACAGTCATGCTGATCTATCCATCAACATCACTGCACCTCATCATGATAGTGAACCACAGGCGGCTCCTTTCTCTCTAAATGCATCAATTAGCAACAAAGAGATTTCATTATTTATTTCAGTGCTTTGCTGCCATTATTTCTGGCACTGAAAAGAACTGTTTCATAATTTGTTATATCATGCCTGCAGGCTGAGCTCTTATTGGAAGAGCATGCCATCGGAAATGAGTATTGGTACACATGTAAACGCAGAAACTCCTCTAGGACAAGGGCAGGTGTGATTAGGTAAGGTTTAAAGCAACCAGACAGGGATCATCCAGGAGACTTTAATATACCACACAAATTCATTTGCATAATTTGCCTACTGTGAAAGCAACTGACATATTTCACAAGCCCGACCTAGTGTTCTCCGACAAATACAAACTTGTCCCTTAACATGGGGAGTGATTTATCGCCTGAAGCTTGTCACACCGATCAGACCAACCACCTGAAAGGTATTTCTGATGAATATGATCTGAATCATTTCAGTTAGCTATATAATCAGATCAAATATTTTGAAGCTGCTTGTCATGTTGGATTCTTTGATTTTTTTTTTTTTTTATGGTTTCTGTCATTTTACATCAAGCCAAACCTCAGAGTACATGGTTTGATAGAGTCATCAAGGAAAAGTGTGGATATTCTCCAAAGCAAGATCAGTTATAATCCATACGTTTATAAAATAACACAAATTTAAAAAGCAGCTAACATTATTAGTTAAAATGAGATTTGAAGGTATACAGAGGTTTTAAAAAGACATTTAACATATTGAAGCTGCTTGTCATGTTGGATTCTTTTATTTTTTTTATTTTTTATGGCTTCTGTCATTTTACATCAAGCCAAACCTCAGAGTAGATGGTTTGATAGAGTCATCAAGGAAAAGTGTGGATATTCTCCAAAGCAAGATCAGTTATAATCCATACGTTTATAAAATAACACAAATTTAAAAAGCAGCTAACATTATTAGTTAAAATGAGATTTGAAGGTATACAGAGGTTTTAAAAAGACATTTAACATACGTGTACATTCAGATATTAGCTACTGAGGACTTGCACTGGCACTATGATTAAAAAAATGTTGTTTGGGGTTCAGTTTTCCAATACAACAACACAAATAATGGAGAAAAATACTAAAATTAAACAATAAAGGCATTTAACCTCTACAGCTTGTCTGTAGTAAGACTTTATTTGGTTTACTCCGTCCAGGGACATTTTCAAAATTACACTTATTGAACATTTCATATAGAATTGGAATTAGTGTCTCTTATTAAGTCTGATGATTTTATAGCCTGAACATCATTCGTAAACTACTACTTATCCAGAAATATTAATACCACAATAAAAAGACGTTTCACTACATAAATATTAATGCAAAAGAAGGTAAGATAATTACGAAAACAAGGGTGAATTATTAGTGCGCACGTACCTCAATGTATCCGGCTAGACTCGGAACAGCGATGGCCAGCATTAGCACAGACACGGCCGGGACTGAACCCATCTTCCACGGTTACTCTCTGCTGGGATTTGTGCTGAAATTATCCCGCTGTGGATTCTTACAAAAGGCTATAAAACAGAAAACAGCTCGGTAAACGGTCCTCGGGCGGTTGTTGTGTGTGTCTCTCTCCTGTGTTTTTCCCACTGTGCGTTGATCCCGCTCTCAGCGCGTGTGGAATGTAGCGCGAGCTCTAAAAACACGACCAAGCACGCCACCGGCCGTCTGATGAAGGGACCGACCGGAAATGAGGTCATCACGCTGTCATCTACTGAAGGATACAAACTAGGTGTGAAAATAGATAACATTCAATGGAGGAAAACATGGTTATTACCATATAAATACTGTATACCCAATAAAGTGAAAGAAGTGCATTTAAAAATGTTGCATAATATATACCCTTGTAACGCTTTTGTGTCGAAATTTTGTGATGTAGCTGATATATGCACCTTCTGTAAAAAAGAAAGTGAAGATATTTGTCATTTATTTTTCTCTTGTAATGTTTCATCACTTTTCTGGAAAGATTTGAGTTCCTATTGTTTTTCTAAAGTTAATATGAACTGTAATTTACACATTAAGGATGTTGTTTGCTTTTTTGAAAACCAAAACAAATCTTTAGAATCTGCTGTTAACTTTCTTATCCTTGTGGCAAAATTCTATTTTAACAAACAAAGGTTTCTTAAGAAAATACCTACTTTTATAGATTTCTTATGTGAAGTAGAACATTTAATTAAATCACTAAGAGTAATAAATAACAAAAAAAAATGTTATTTTTTTGAAGAGATATGATGAGATCTTTCATGTACCGTGATTAATACTTTTTTTGGTGTTTTTTTTTTCGTTCCTGCCTTTATGATCATAAAAAAGCTATTTAAATGCATCTTTCTCTTTTAACAGTCATTATCAAATTTTTTTTCTTCTCTTCTCTTTCATATGTTCAGATGACATTGGATGTATTGCTGATACATTGTGTAATGTATGCAAAGTTGTATTTCATTAATGTCATCTCTGAATTGTTTGCAATAAAAAAAA